GTCCCCCCCCTGTCTTTCCCTTTCCCCTCTCCTCCTCCTCCTCCTCCTCCTCCTCCTCCTCCTCCTCCTCCTCCTCTTCCTCCTCTTCCTCCTCTCCCTCCTCCTCCTCCTCCACTCGGATTTCCTAGGAGCGGACTGGGTTGGACTGGACGCGCCCCACCTCCTCCTACCGTCCGAAGGGACCCGGGATAAGGGAGCTTTTGATTAGGAATCCAGGGTCTGGAAAGCCAGTTGAACTCAAATTGTGGTTCGGCCATGGGCATCGACACCGCCCTCATCAGAGAAGGAACCCGCCAGGGTCTGAGGCCTCCTGGGCACATTCCTTAGTCGACGCCCTCGCTGCGGCCACACCTCTGCCCCGATGGGGGTGAGAGGGGAACGAACTACAGGGCCTGGGGAGAGAGAACACAAAGACGAGCGCGGCACCGAGGATCAGGGGGAGGAAGGGAGGGGAAGAAGAGAAGGAAGATGAGGAGCAGGATCAGAGATAGGAGAGCATCCTCCACGCGCTGGCGCTTGTCGTCGGGCTGCTGGGAGTCGAGCGGCAGGGAGTCGGGCTGCTGCGTGTCGGGCTGCAGGGAGTCGGGCTGCTGCGTGTCGGGCCGCAGGGAGTCGGGTTGCTGCGCGTCGGGCTGCTTCGCGTCGGGCTGCTGCGTGTCGGGCTGCTGCGTGTCGGGCTGCTTCGCGTCGGGCTGCTGCGTGTCGGGCTGCTGCGTGTCGAGCTGCTGCGTGTCGGGCTGTTGCGTGTCGGGCCCGCCGCCGATGGAGTCCTCCAGCCGGCGGCCCTCCTCCTCCTCCTCCTCCTCCTCCTCCTCCTCCTCCTCGCCCTCGCCCTCGCCCTCGCCCTCGCCGTCGTCCTCCTCCGCCTCCGAAGTCGGCGAAAACGCCAGAGCGAGCTGATGACGTGTCCTTCTCCTCCTCCTCCTTCTTCTCCTCCTCCTCTTCCCCCTCCTTCTCAGGGATGCAGGGGGGGCCCGCGTGGAGACCCGTGCCAAGGAACGCACTGCTCGCCTCCAGGGTGCCCTGGATGTCTTGGGTTTCGATGGTTTTGCTATGGAGAGCGTGGCGTTCCTCGCCAAAAATCAATGGGCGTCCTGGGGTCTAAAGGTTGGGCATCTCGTGGGCGGCCCCCTGCAGGCTGGCCCCCGCTGCAAAGAGGGAGGGGGGGAGGAGGAGAAACAACAACAACAACGAAAACAACATCACCACCACCACCACCGCCACCCCCACCAACAACAACAACAGCCACAACAACAACACCAACAACAACACTAACAACAACACTATCACTAACACTAACACTAACACTAACAACAACAACGACAACACCAACACCAACAACAACAACAGCAACAACAACAACACTAACGACAACAACCACAACCAACAACAACAACAGTAACGACCCCAACGACAACACACACCAGCAACAGCAACAACAAAACCAACAACCACAACAACAACAGCAACACCATCCACAACAACAACACCGACAACAACATCAACAACAACAACAATAGCACTAACAACACCACCAACAACAACACTAACACCAACACCAACACCGACAACAACGCCAACAACACCAACAACAGCAACAACACGTGTCCTGCATCTCGCCGATGTCCTGCGAGCCCATCTCCTCGCAGGGGGCTCGAGTCATGGATGTACGCATCACCGCCGCCTGGGGGGGCCGATCTTCGGTGACCTCGGCGGGCGATGGACATCGATGAATCTGGGCCCATAGGGCCCGATGATACCGATATCCACCGCCCGCTGGGACATCAGAAGATCGACCCCCCAGGCACTGGTGGCGCATGAACCCCTGGCTCGCAGGGGGGGGGGGGGTCAGCACCGGCAGCAGGACGAGCTGGAGGATGACACGAGGGGCCAACTGGCCCCTTGTGTCATCCTCCAGCTCGCGCTGGCCACTCAGAAAGCGGTGTCGGCACGCCCTTCTCCTGTCTAGACTGGAGAAGGGCGTGCCAACACAGCTATCTAAGTCCGAGTGGAGGGGGGGTGGGGGCAGGGCGAAGGGCAGATTGATGAAACTATGGGGGGCCACAGCTCTCCGCGCGCACTGGGGCCCCAGCAGCTGTGCAAGCCATGTCCCATCTCAAAGCTTCCAACTCATTCTCCATGCCATCCAATTTAGCGTAAATATCAAGGGTGTTCTCGAGATCCGAAGGCGCCACAGGCGCTTCCACGAGCTCTGACGTCATCTCCCGGGGGCCCCATAACCCACCCCCTGGAATTCCGCATCAGCCCCCCGGGGGCCGCTCGTGCGTAACCTTCGCGATTCGTCCTCGCCCCCCCCCTCCCCCTCCTCTCTCCTCTTTGTGTTTAGTGAGCGCGCGCCCGCGCGTAACCCCCCCTTTTCGCATTGGCTCCTCGTGCGAGCGTTTCCTGGTCTTCGGGTCTCCAGGTGCGGGGCGCCACGACTTCAGGACGGACATCGTCTGATTTCTGGATTCGGGGCTGCGCCGCGACAGTCTGCGAAGGTCATGGACCATGCCGTGCAGCACCGAGCCCTCGTAGACAGCCCACGGGGATGGAATGTTTGGCGTCGTCTCAGCTCTTTGGGGCGGGTCTAGATTGTTGAACTTTTTTCGCCCGCCAGATCGAACTGGTGCGCGGCTGAGATGCGCGCGTCCGCAGACACTTGGCGGCCTTTGAGGGCCTGCAACACTGGGAGAAGCCGCCGGCCATTGAAGATCATATCTTTGGCACATATCTTGTTGGGATCGCCAACGGCTAACAACACCTCGAAGGGTCAAGGGGGATTTTGAGGAGGGCACGGTCCTCGCGCGCATCGTGCTTCGCCTCCGGCCCTGGCCCTTGGGGCAATGCGGCACGCCCCTCAAGAGATTCCAGCCCCCGTCCTTTCGTTCCTTCCTCCTCCTCCCCCTCCCCCTCCTCCACCTCCTCTTCTAGCGTTTTTTCCGCCCTTGCACGTGTGTCTGCTCCAGTTTCGAGAACTCATCTGCGCCCATATCACACAGAGCGTCGACTATCAACTCAACGAACCCTGGGCGCTGGTCGACCTCGCTCGCCGCCGCCGCGGCGGCAGCAAAACGCCGCTGCAGGAAATAATATTAACGAACTACGAACTGCACCTCAACGGCTCGAAATGGCGATGGTCCGACGACGCAGTCGGGCTTGATTGGAGAGGACGCGCGAGAGGGCACAAGAACCTTTCGAGGGTCAAATCGCCGTAGGAATGTAGACAGCGTGGGTCGCGAACCACAGGACACAAGGGTACTCTTGATCTGGCAGGGTCGACCTACGAACCCGGGCCGTCTAACCCGGGCGTTGTCGGTGGAGCCCTGGGGCGTCGTCGATGGGGCCTTGGGGGCGTTGTCGGTGGGTCTCCTGGAATGTTGTCGATGGGGCCCAGGGGACGTTGTCGGTGGGCCCCTGGAGCGTTGTCGGTGGGCCCCTGGGGCGTTGTCGGTGGGGCCTGGGTGGCGTTGTCGGTGCGACCCTGGGGCGTTGTCGGTGGGGCCTGGGGTGCGTTGTCGGCAGGGCCCTGGGGCGTTGTCGGTGGAGCCTGGGGGGGGGGGGGCGTCGTCGGTAGGCCCCCGGGGCGTTGTCGGCGGCGTTGTCGGCGGGGGGGCCTTCCGAATTAAGAAGGGGCCCTGGCGCCTGAGTGGCGGCGCCCCCAGCTCATGCAGGGCGCGCCGAACGGAGCGGGGGGGCGCATGCAAACCCTGTCGCTGAGGCCTTCAGTGGAGCTCCCTGTGGGGCCAGGATCCTTGTGAGGGGTGTGTCGAAATCGGTTGGGGGGCGCGTGCAAACCCTGCCGCTGGGGCCTTTGGTGGAGCTCCCTATGGGAACCCGATCCTTGTAAGGGGTTATCGAAATGGGCGGGGGGGGCGCGTGCAAACCCTGCCGCTGGAGCCTTCGGTCGAGCTTCCTGCTGGGCCGCGATCCCAGTGAAGGGTGCGTCGAAATGGGCGGGGGGGGGGGGCGCATGCAAACCCTGCCGCTGGGGCCTTCGGTGGAGCTTTCTGTGGGCCCACGATCCTCGCGAAGGGGTGCGCCGCAATGGGCGGGGGGGGCGCATGCAAGCCCTGCCACTGGAGCCTTCGGTGGAGCTTCCTATGGGGCCACGATCCTCGTGGGAAGTGTGCCAAAATGGGCGGGGGGGCGCATGCGAACTCTGCCACTGTGGCCTTCGGCAGAGCTCCCTATGGGCCCGGAACGTGTGAGGGGTGTGCCAAAATTTGCGGGAGGACGCATGGGAACCCTGCCACTGGGGCCTTCGGTCGGGTTCCCTATGGGGCCACGAACCGCGCGAATGGTGTGCCAAAATTGGGAGGGGGGGGGGGGGCGCATCGAACCCTGCCACAACGAACCTTCGGTGGGGCCCCCTCTGGGGCCGCGAACCGAGTTGTGAGGGGTGTGCCGAAGTGAGGCCGGGGGGGGCGCGTGCAAACCCTGCTACGGGGCCTTCGGTGGAGCTCCCTGTGGGGCCACGAAGCGCGACGGGCGCGCCGAAATGAGGGGGGGGGGGGCGGGGGGGGGGGGGGGGTGCGCGCGCGGTAAACCATGCCGTTGGGCCCTTCGGTGGAGCCCCTTTGAGGCGCGAGCCGTGTAACGGTGTGCGCCGGAAATGAGCGGGAACCACATGTGAAACCCTGCCACGGGGGCCTTCGGTGGAGCTCCCTATGATGGTGCCACGATCCTGGTGAGGGCTGCGCAGAGATCAGCGGAGGGACGCATGCAAACCCTGCCGCTGAGGCCTTCGGTGGAGCTCCTTGCGGGGCCACGATGCTCGTGAGGGGTGTGCCACTGGGGCCTTCGGTGGAACTCCCTATGGGGCCACGAAAACGCTGTCTTCGGCGGTGAAACGCGAGGGGGTGACGAGGCGGATGAGAGGAGGGAAGGGGGGTGGGGGGGGGGGAGAAGGGGGAGGGGGGGGGGGGGAGGGGGAAGGGGAGGGGGGGAATGGAGGAGGAGGAGGAGGAGGAGGAGGAGGAGGAGGAGGAGGAGGAGAGGAATGCGGGGCGCTGTCTTCAAAACGAGGACCTAACATCAGAGGATTGTTCGGTAATTTACTATACTGGCGCCTGCAAGCATCCACGCTTGGGCAGCGCCTCCCGCCAAACAGAACTTGTAAAATCCAAACGGCGGCGACCCGCGGGCCACTTGGCGCCACTTGGCGCCGGGGGTGCCCCCCCTCCGCCCTCCTCTCACCCCCCGACCCCCCCCCCGGCGCCGCGCGAGGCAATCGCTCAGACCCACTCGCCGCTGGCACTCGGCAGCGGGGGGGGGCGAGGGCGACGGCTAACGGGCGAGGGCGCGAGGGCGTGCCAAGACGGTACCGATAAGGTTCGGATATTGCCCCCTCCTCCTGATCCTCCTGCTCGGCAGACCATGGGGGCGTTTCGCCTGCTATCGGCGCCCGGCCCCACCCCCTCCACCGCCGCCCCATGCAGCGCCCTGTGTTTTCAGGTGCTGCTGGTGTGGTGCCTTCACCGTTCGCCTCCACGTGCGCTGCGTTACGTTTCGTCCGTTCTGGCTGCACTTCTACCTGAACAAGTCACCCCCTCAGTACCTACAGAACAGGATCCACAGACAAATCGCTTGGCCAAAACATGGAGTTTAGTTCCAACGTTCTCCACTGAAGCGCGCCGACATGCGTTGGACGATATGCGGATTCAACTCTGACGCCACTGCCCGCCCTGAATTATGGCTTTCGTCGTGACGCTGGTCTCGCGCCGTTTGCAACGCGGACGGACTACGCGCTGTTATTGGTGAGTCGCTACTTTGTTGCGCGCGCCTGCCCGGCGTGCGCACGCGCGCCTCGCCCTTCGCCCGCAGCGGAGACGCGCGCGATGGAATCGGCGCGCGCGCGTCTCATGCGCGCGCCAATCCCACCGCGCGCCACGCGCGCGCGCGAAGGCTCCAAAACGCGCGCGCGGAATCCCAACGCGGGCGTGAGCCTTCCGGGCGCGCTGAACGCGCGACGACAAATCGCCCGACCAAGCCACGTGACAAATGTGGCCCGTGGCCAGCATTCCCTATGAATCCCACCAGCCCTTTGGGCGTGAGTGGTTTAGAGAGCCCGCTCTGTTCTCAACCCCCTTCTTCCCCTTCGGGGAGGGGTTTACCCCTCCCCCTACCCCCTCCCCCTGGGCCTGGAGAGGGAGTCCGGCGGGTCGTTGGGGGGGTCAATTTCGACTCCTGGGAGGGCTAAAAAACGACGACCCTCACGAGGATTCTGGCCCCGAGGGGGGGACGGAGATAGGCCCCTCTCCTCTTCTTTGAAGCCAAAATCATTGATTTTACTACGGTTTCGGCCCCATTTTGGCCTTCTGAGGGGGCCGCGCTCATCTTCCTTCATAGCAAAATCATTGATTTTACGAAAAGTTTTGGGCTCATTTTGTCCTTCTCAGGGGGCAGCGCTCATTTGCGCTTCTGAGGAGGTCGCAAGAGGCCCCAAGATGGCCCCAAGAGGCCCCCAGGAGGCCCCAAGAGGCCTCCAAGAGGTCCCCAAGAGGCCCCCAAGAGGCCCCCAAGAGGCCCCAAGAGGCCCCCAAGAGGCCCCCAAGAGGCCCCCAAGAGGCCCCCAAGAGGCCCCAAGAGGCTCCAAGAGGCCCCCAAGAGGCCCCACGAGGAGCCCGAACGACTCACACCAGGACGAGGGGCCCGAACGACTCACACCACGAAGAGCCCGAACGACTCACACCAGAAGGAGGGGCCCGAACGACTCACACCAGGACGAGGCGCCCGAACGACTCACACCACGAGGAGCCCGAACGACTCACACCACGACGAGGGCCCCGAACGACTCACACCACGAGGAGCCCGAACGAGTCACACCAGGAGGAGGGGCCCGAACGACTCACACCAGGACGAGGGGCCCGAACAACTCACACCACGAGAAGCCCGAACGACTCACACCAGGACGAAGAGCCCGAACGACTCACACCACGAAGAGCCCGAACGACTCACACCAGGAAGAAGGGCCCGAACGACTCACACCAGGACGAGAAACCCCAAACGACTCAAACCACGAGGAGCGCTTTCTCTCCCTCCTCCTCCGCCTCGTCCTTCTCCCGCTCCCCCCACAAGGAGGATGTACAAGGAGGCGGGAGGAAGGAGGAACAGGGGAGATATGCGGGGCCAAGCGGACGCACGCCTGAAAAACACGACTGTCGGCATGCTTCGCAAGAATTGCTGCTGTGAGATGGGCTGGTGGGGATACGCGAAGCGTAAAGAATTTGAAATGCGACGGCGCTTCCACAATTTTTGTCGCACGTCTTCCACAAGCATTTTGTCGTCGCCACTTCGGATTGTGTCGCGGCTGTGCGCCGCCGGCGGATCTTGTCGTCCGCCTCCTTTTTCGTTGTTGGCAGTTGCTTCTTGTGTTTGAATGTCGTCGGCCTCGCTTTGTTGTCGTCGGCCTTTTTTGTTGTCGTCGGCTCCTTGTCGTCGAGTTGTGTTAGCTGTTCTCGTTTGATATGTCTCGTGTCCTTCACGGTCGGAGACCCTTTTTCATCGGGCTCTTCAACATGTTTGGGGTCCTTCGCGGCCGGATCCAACTTCCATGCTTTTCACGCTTCCCGCGTCCCCATCACCCCGTCCGGAAACGATGCCCAGGCGTTGCTCATGGTAATTCGATTCTTGGTCCTCGCCCATCCAGTTTGGAAAACGCACACAACAGCTGGCAGGGGGCTCAAACTTATCCCGGCAAAGCAACCTAACAGCGATGTGTAGGAGCATATCTGGAAGCATTCCCCTTAAGATTCAGATAAGAATCCTGTTGTAGAATTCTACTGTTCTCGCAGTCGTGGTCGCATTCGCGATGGCAGTCGCAGTGGCAACAGCAGTCGCAGTCACAGCCTCAGCCTCAGCCTGCCTCAGCCTCAGCCTCAGCCTGCCTCAGCCTCAGCCTGCCTCAGCCTCGCCCTCAGCCTGCTTCAGCCTCAACATCAGTCTGCCTTCAGCCTCGGCCTCAGCCTGCCTCAGCCTCACCCTCAGCCTGCATCAGCCTCAGCCTGCCTCAGCCTCGCCCTCAGCCTGCTTCAGCCTCAACATCAGTCTGCCTTCAGCCTCGGCCTCAGCCTGCCTCAGCCTCACCCTCAGCCTCAGCCTCAGCCTCAGCCTGCCTCAGCCTCAGCCTCAGCCTGCTTCAGCCTCAGCCTCAGTCTGCCTTCAGCCTCGGCCTCAGCCTCAGCCTGCCTCAGCCTCAGCCTGCATCAGCCTCAGCCTCAGCCTCAGCCTGCCTCAGCATCAGCCTGCCTCAGCCTCAGCCTCAGCCTCAGCCTGCCTCAGCCTCAGCCTCAGCCTGCTTCAGCCTCAGCATCAGCCTGCCTCAGCGCGGCCTCATCCTCCGCCTGCCTCATCCTCGCCTGCAGCAGCCTCAGCCAAGCCTCAGCCTAGCCTCAGAATCAGCCTGCACTGCAGGCCTCAGCCTAGCCTGCCTCAGCCTTCAGACTAAGCCTGCTTCAGCTCAGCATCAGTCTGCCTTCAGGCCTCAGCCTGCACAGCCTCAGCCTCAGCCTGCTTCATCCTCAGCATCAGTCTGCCTTCAGCTTCGGCCTCAGCCTCAGGCTGCCCTTCGCCTTTTCCAGCAGCACGTAAAATCAGCCTGCCTCAGCATCAGCCTGCCTCAGCCTCAGCCTCAGCCTGCCTCAGCCTCAGCCTCAGCCTGATTCAGCCTCAGCCTCAGTCTGCCTTCAGCCTCGGCCTCAGCCTCAGCCTGCCTCAGCCTGAGCCTGCCTCAGCCTCAGCCTCAGCCTGCCTCAGCATCAGCCAGCCTCAGCCTCAGCCTCAGCCTCAGCCTCAGCCTCAGCCTCAGCCTCAGCCTGCTTCAGCCTCAGCCTCAGTCTGCCTTCAGCCTTGGCCTCAGCCTCAGCCTGCCTCAGCCTCAGCCTGCATCAGCCTCAGCCTCAGCCTCAGCCTGCCTCAGCATCAGCCTGCCTCAGCCTCAGCCTCAGCCTGCCTCAGCCTCAGCCTCAGCCTGCTTCAGCCTCAGCCTCCGTCTGCCTTCAGCCTCGGCCTCAGCCTCAGCCTGCCTCATCCTCAGCCTGCCTCAGCCTCAGCATCAGCCTGCCTCAGCATTCAAAGTGTGGCCCCGGAATGGAGTTCTGGGAACTGGAAGAACACGAAGTGGCCTACAGTTGGCTCCGGGCATTCAAAATCATGCCCGGGAATGGAGTTCTGGGAACTCGAAGAACACGAAGTGGCCTACAGTTGGCTCCGGGCATTCAAAATGTGGCCCGGGAATGGAGTTCTGGGAACTCGAAGAGCACGAAGTGGCCTACAGTTGGCTCCGGGCATTCAAAATGTGGCCCGGGAATGGAGTTCTGGGAACTCGAAGACCAGGAAGTGGCCTACAGTTGCTCCGGGCATCCAGAATGTGGCCGGGAATGGGGTTTGGGAGGTCGAAGATAAGAGCACGAAGTGTGTGACTGTTTGCGAAAAACGAGGTTCCCCGGAAATCCCCAACGGCCCCCCAACGGCCCCCCAACGGCTCCCCAACGGCTGCCCAGACCCCCCTGTGGAGTAATGTGCTGCTCTCTTTTTACCCTATTAGAAACCTATCAGTCTTCGCTGTTAGGTAACTATCAGCGTTTTAGACGCGCGACGGGCGCCGCGGCTTCAGTCATAAAAACAAAATATCCCGGCAAAGCAACCTAACATCGATGTGTAGGAGCACATCTGGAAGCATTCCCCTTAAGATTCGGATGAGAATCCAGTTGTAGAATTCTGCTGTTCTCGCAGTCGTAGTCGCATTCGCGATGACAGTCGCAGTGGCAACGGCAGTCGCAGTCACAGCCTCAGCCTCAGCCTGCCTCAGCCTCAGCCTCAGCCTGCCTCAGCCTCAGCCTCACTCAGCCTCAGCTGCTTCAGCCTCAGCCTCAGTCTGCCGTCGGCCTCGGCCTCAGCCTCAGCCTGCCTCAGCCTCAGCCTGCATCAGCCTCAGCCTCAGCCTCAGCCTGCCTCAGCATCAGCCTGCCTCAGCCTCAGCCTCAGCCTCAGCCTCAGCCTCAGCCTCAGCCTCAGCCTGCCTCAGCCTCAGCCTGCATCAACCTCAGCCTGAGCCTCAGCCTGCCTCAGCCTCAGCCTGCCTCAGCCTCAGCACAGCCTGCCT